TTCCAGGATTTTTCTGGGATTTCTCCAGGATTTTCCTGGGATTTTTCCAGGATTTCTCCAGGATTTTCCTGGGATTTTTCCAGGATTTTTCCGAGATTTCCAGACCCCCTGTCTGTGCAGTGTTTCCCTCTGCAGAAGCCGTGGCAGCGCTCCCTGTATCCATGGATTCGGGATCCCTTTCCCACCCCATTTCCTGTCCCTGGGGGTTTGGGATCTGGAATTTTTGTAGGATTTTTCCGGGATTTCCCTGGAATTTTTCTCCAGGATTTTCCCTGGATCTCCCCGTGATTTTTCCATCATTTCCCTGGGATTTTCCCAGGATTTCCCTGGGATTTTCCCAGGATTTTTTTGGGATTTTTCCCTGGGATTTCCCTGAGATTTTTCTAGGACTTTTCCAGGATTTCCTGGGATTTTTCCCTGGATTTTTCTGGGATTTTTCCCTGGGATTTTTCCAGGACTTTTCCAGGATTTCCGTGGGATTTTCCCAGGATTTCCCTGGGATTTTTCCAGGACTTTTCCAGGATTTCCCTGGGATTTTCCCAGGATTTCCCTGTGATTTTCCCAGGACTTTTCCAGGATTTCCCTGGGATTTTCCCAGGATTTCCCTGTGATTTTCCCAGGACTTTCCCAGGATTTCCCTGGGATTTTCCCAGGATTTCCCTGTGATTTTCCCAGGACTTTTCCAGGATTTCCCTGGGATTTTCCCAGGACTTTTCCAGGATTTTCCGCGGATTTTCCCAGGATTCACCTGTCTGCGCCGGGCTCTCCCTCTGCAGGAAGCCGTGGCAGCGCTCCCTTTATCCACGGGCTCCCCCCCATCCCATTTCCTGTCCCTGGGGATTTGGGATCCGGGATTTCCCTGGGATTTCCCGGGGATTTTCCCGGATTTTCCCAGGATTCACCTGTCTGCGCCGGGCTCTCCCTCTGCAGGAAGCCGTGGCAGCGCTCCCGGTGCTCCTCCAGGCTGCTCTGCTGCTTGTAGCTGCGGCCGCACGAGCTGCACTTGTAGGGCTTGCCCACGGTGGGGGACGAGACTGGGACGGGAAAGGAACAGGGAGTCAGGATCTGGGATCTGGGATCTGGGATTTGGGATCTGGGAATCAGGATTTGGGATCTGGGATTTGGGATATCTCCCAGTATGAGCTGCACTTGTAGGGCTTGCCCACGGTGGGGGACGAGACTGGGACGGGAAAGGAACAGGGAGTCAGGATCTGGGATCTGGGATCTGGGATTTGGGATCTGGGAATCAGGATTTGGGATCTGGGAATCAGGATTTGGGATCTGGGATGTGGGATTTGGGATCTGGGATTTGGGATATCTCCCAGTATGAGCTGCACTTGTAGGGCTTGCCCACGGTGGGGGACGAGACTGGGACAGGGAAAGGAACAGGGAGTCAGGATTTGGGATCTGGGAATCAGGATTTGGGGTCTGGGATCTGGGATTTGGGATGGGGGATGGGGGATGTGGGGTTTGGGACCCAGGATCTCCCGGTATGAGCTGCACTTGTAGGGCTTGCCCACAGTCAGGGATGAGACTGGGAACGGGGAAAGGAACAGGGAGTCAGGATTTGGGAATCAGGATTTGGGATCTGGGAATCAGGATTTGGGATCTGGGATGTGGGATTTGGGATCTGGGATTTGGGATATCTCCCAGTATGAGCTGCACTTGTAGGGCTTGCCCACGGTGGGGGACGAGACTGGGACAGGGAAAGGAACAGGGAGTCAGGATTTGGGATCTGGGATTTGGGGTTTGGGGCTTGGGATGGGGGATTTGGGATGGGGGATTTGGGACCCAGGATCTCCCGGTATGAGCTGCACTTGTAGGGCTTGCCCACGGTCGGGCATGAGACTGGGAATGGGGAAAGGAACAGGGAATCAGGATTTGGGATCTGGGGTTTGGAAATCAGGATTTGGGATATCTCCCAGTATGAGCTGCACTTGTAGGGCTTGCCCACGGTCGGGCATGAGACTGGGAATGGGGAAAGGAACAGGGAATCAGGATTTGGGATCTGGGGTTTGGAAATCAGGATTTGGGGTTTGGGGTTTGGGAATCAGGATTTGGGATATCTCCCAGTATGAGCTGCACTTGTAGGGCTTGCCCACGGTCGGGCATGAGACTGGGAATGGGGAAAGGAACAGGGAATCAGGATTTGGGATCTGGGGTTTGGAAATCAGGATTTGGGGTTTGGGGTTTGGGAATCAGGATTTGGGATATCTCCCAGTATGAGCTGCACTTGTAGGGCTTGCCCACGGTCGGGCATGAGACTGGGAATGGGGAAAGGAACAGGGAATCAGGATTTGGGATCTGGGGTTTGGAAATCAGGATTTGGGATATCTCCCAGTATGAACTGCACTTGTAGGGCTTGCCCACGGTCGGGCATGAGACTGGGAATGGGGAAAGGAACAGGGAATCAGGATTTGGGATCTGGGGTTTGGAAATCAGGATTTGGGGTTTGGGGTTTGGAAATGAGGATTTGGGATGTGGGATTTGGGGTTTGGAAATGAGGGTTTGGGGTTTGGAAATCAGGATCTGGGATCTGGGATTTGGGAATCAGGATTTGGGATCTGGGATGTGGGATCTGGGGTTTGGAAATCAGGATTTGGGGTTTGGGGTTTGGAAATGAGGATTTGGGGTGTGGGATCTGGGGTTTGGAAATCAGGATTTGGGATCTGGGATGTGGGATTTGGGGTTTGGAAATCAGGATTTGGGATGTGGGATTTGGCTATCAAGATCTGGGACACGGAGAACTGGATTCCTTTAGGATCTTCCCTCCCTCTCCCCCCATTCCCCACCGCTCTCCACCCCGTGAAAAACCCAAGGATTCCCCTGTGAACCCCAAGCAACAACCCTGAAGCAGCACTGGGACCCCTCCCCACCAAACCACGGCTTCTGTCCCTCATTCCCAAAATCCTGACCCCATTCCCAAAATCCTGACCCCGTTCCCAAAATCCCCAGCCCGTTCCCACCGGAATGGGTGCGCAGGTGCCCGCTGAGGGCGTCGCGGCGCCGGCAGGCGTAGGAGCAGAAGGGGCACTTGAAGGGCTTCTCCCCCGAGTGCAGCTTGATGTGGCGCAGCAGGTTCCCCTTCTGCGTGAAGGAGGCGCCGCACTGCTGGCACTGGAAGGGTCGTTCTCCTGGAAAAACCCAAAATTCCCAATGGGAACGGATCCCAAATGATCCTAACCATGATCCTGACCCCGCACTGCTGGCACTGGAAGGGTCGTTCTCCTGGAAAAACCCAAAAAAAACCCAAAACTTAACCCCAACCCGGCCCCAAACCCACTGGAAGGGTCGTTCTCCTGGAAAATCCCAAAAAAAACCCAAAACTTAACCCCAACCCAGCACTGCTGGCACTGGAAGGGTCGTTCTCCTGGAAAAACCCAAAATTCCAAATGGGAAGAGATCCAAAATTATCCTAACCCTGATCCTGACCCCGCACTGCTGGCACTGGAAGGGTCGTTCTCCTGGAAAAACCCAAAATTCCCAATGGGAACGGATCCCAAAGAACCCCAAACCCAGCACTGCTGGCACTGGAAGGGTCGTTCTCCTGGAAAAATCCCAAAAAAAACCCAAAACTTAACCCCAACCCAGCACTGCTGGCACTGGAAGGGTCGTTCTCCTGCAAAATCCCAAAAAAAACCCCCAAAACTTCATCACAAACCGGCACTGCTGGCACCGGAAGGGTCATTCTCCTGGAAAAACCCAAAATTCCCAATGGGAACGGATCCAAAATTATCCTAACCCTGATCCTGACCCCACACTGCTGGCACTGGAAGGGTCGTTCTCCTGGAAAAATCCCAAAAAAAACCCAAAACTTCATCACAAATTGGCACTGCTGGCACTGGAAGGGTCGTTCTCCTGGAAAAATCCCAAAAAAAACCCAAAACTT